CCTCCACCGATAGTCCAAAACAATTCCCTCAATTTTTGTAACAAAAACCTCTTCATATCTGGATCCACTTCCTCGAATCGTTTGGCAAACAATTCTAACTTAGGTGTACAAGTCCACTCTTCACTTACAATGTGTGGGGTACTCAACATATCAAGCTTAGTCCAATATGAACAAACCGAAGAGAGGGGAATTGGCCGATTTTTCCTCATGTAATTTGCTATCTCATGTGCACATGGCAAACCATGAGTACGTCGAACAACACATCTACATGCCGTAATATCAATACTAACAAAAGATGCTCGTTTAGACTCAGCCAATATGATCTCTAATGCAGTAATTGAGAGATTACCACGAAGCTCCTTAAACTGTGCAGGTTTGAAATCATGTTGCACAACTAACTTTCTTTTCTCAAATGATGATTTTATTTCACTATGTTGCAACTCAAGTAAATTGTGTATCCTTGTCCAATTCGACTCAAAATTTCCTTGACTTGATCTAAGATATCCTTTAAGTTTTGCATGTGAACTCTCAACCCTATATATGAAAATAAACTATTATACAAATAATGTTATAAAAAACCAAACAACTAGTAAATTTAAATGTTCGTATTTACCTATTTGTTGTAGAATTTCCAAAGTGCATAAATGTGTCAGTCCAAGCAGCCATAAATTTCGACTTGTATGTATCCAACCAAGAGAAGGTAACATAATGAAGTGCATCTTGATAAGTACTGAACTCACTATATAACAAAGATAGTCGTTGCATGTATACTTCTTCAGACGATGACACGACCAACATATTCCAACTCATTATAAACATTTCCCATTTATCCTTTGTCTCAAACATCTTTTTGCAATTAGCAAGCACATTTTTTCCAATATGCCATCTACACAACAAATTTGTAGTTGCAGGAAACACCGTATATATGGCATTCATAAGGGCCAATTCTCTATCTGTGACAATAACAGAAGGAAGAGTATTTTCATCCATGACACTACGCAAAAGACCAAGTGCCCATGTATAGTTATCCTCATTCTCATACTGGAGGTATGCAAATGCAACTGAAAAGGTCATGTCTGTCGATGTCACACCTACAATCTCCAGAAGGGGCAACCGATATCGATTGGTCTTATAAGTACAATCCATCAACAATACTTTTGGAAATGCACGTAACAAATTCAAA